AACTCACTGCTTGATATGAAGATAAGAAGACTGATGCTGGCTATTTCATTCAATTAACAAACACCAATAAACATCATTCACACTAAGAAATAAAGGTACAATTCTGCTACAAAAGCAGCATCCTCTGCCAAATACACGTAGGTGGATGCAAATCTGCACCCCCATAGCACCTTTATTAATTTCTAAGTGTGTTATTTTAATCACAGTTTCACTTTCACGTATAGGAATTAAAATACACTTGTCAAGTGTTGCATCCCTGTATGTCATGGAGAATTCACTTTCGTGATACATCCCGCATCAGCATTCATGACAATAGATGAATCAATAATTTCTATGATTTACTCGATTTTACGAAATGTACTGAAGCAGAAGACTCTCACCGAGAGCTCTGGTGGACTCATCAAGTTGCTCACTTATGATTAACAAATAACTTGTTTTAAGGAGTAAGTGGGTATATACTATACCTTCAATTGTTCAACTATCAAGACTGAGGGGCCTCTAAAATTCTACACCAAAAAAAGAGACTGGATACCCCCATCCATGCCCCCCCCCCCGCCTCCGCCCCTCATCTTCTCATCACCTCGACCTCTCTCTCACTCCGACCCAACGAGATTCAAATATTGTCTTAGCGTCGGAGGAATGCTCGCATCACTCAGCGGATTAACAGCTTGGTGAACTTGAAAAGTACAGGAGGGGTCCCAGCGAGATTCTGAGACCCTCTTGTTGGTTGGTAACGGACACTGTTTTGCTTACATCTCAGATAGCATTTCGACTGGAATCATTTGGTAGTGCCGATTCCTTGGCCCGCATAGACTGTCTCCCAGACGCGTCTAAACAATACGATGGTTGCATTGAGAGAGACTTGGTGTATACACATTTAAATACGAATCGGACGAGTCAAGTGGTGTCTCACATGACTATGTATTCCTTTTGTCATGGAAATAGCGTACACTGCTGGAGCAAATAGCATCAATCAAAGATAACTTTAGCTGAGTAATATGAATTCCTCTGTAAATGTGTCTTCAAATAATCATTATTGGTGGATTAACACCTACAACCGGCATCAAACTTTAAAGTGCTTGACTAATAAGTAGTGCGCTACCATCTAAAATGGATGTATTTCTATGGTTTTAATCATCAACTGTATCTCATTGCAATCTTTGTTTAATTCTTAGCTCTTCACCTAGTGTTTACTCAAAAGATGGCAGCACTTAAAGCATTCGAATAGACTGATCTTCGATTTTAATGGATACAAACGTACATGTTATCTTCAAGAGACGAACGTAACATCTTTCAACTTCTATTTCCAATTTCTTTCCCAAAGATAGCAAAGTACCGGTCTGTAATGCTCCTTTCAACAACCTTTCATCATTGTTAGCTTGTACAAAACCAATTTGCTCAGTTGATAACCGTCTCCGTTTTTTCGCCACAAAATAGAGAGAAATTGAATTCATTGAAAAGAATTGAACCAACTTACCCCGGGCAATGAACGATACTGGGGTGATAACAAAAAAATGGGTTCCTTTTAGAAACTAATAGCTGTGAGAAAAGGCGATTAGGTACGCATTGAAAATGTAACTGAATATACGGACAAAAAGAACCACGGCCGTGCGGTGCTAACCTTAGCCCTATGGTAGCTGCGAAGGCTCACATAGGTGGAAAGCAAGCGCAAGGACGAATTATTAGAGGGAGTTGTGTGATCTCAGAAGAAAAAAACTTTTGAAGAGAAATGGAAGAGAAGAAAACTGAACGTTGAAATGATGAAGAAAAGTCAGATTTGTAATGTAGAAAAAAAAGAACCCTTTCAAAAAGCTAAAAACTGACAAAGAGAGACAGGATGAGAGAACTATGCCAAAAGGCATATACTGCATCATATTTTACACCGCAATGGAGAAGAGTACTAAAACCAATGTCCACGTAGTTTGATTTATTCATAGGCTTTTAATATAAGTTAATGAGATGAATATCTAAACAAGATGTAAAGTTATACCCTACTCAAATTCGAACATTTTGTCGGGAGGAAAGGGTTGTGTAATTTTCTTCTTTTTTTTTTGCGGAACACGAGTCCTTTTTTTCATAAATTGCTTATAAATTTCATAACGTACATATTTGACAAGAAACCCTGCTATCGCACCGGATCCCCATTGACTTTCTCTTTTATAGTGTACATCCCTGACCGACCATCCCTCCCCCACATTCTCTCATACAAAAATGCACACAATTATAGTATTCGTGCGGAGACCTGTAGACGACCCCTGAAGGGAGGTTTTTTTCATACCACTATTTAGGCTAAACCAGAGCTGGAGGGGTATTCTTTAGCCCCTATCCACCACCACGATCCTCATAGCCAATACCACTCGGGGCGGGGGGGGGGGTGTGGACTATGCAAGATGACATGTCCGAGACTATCCAAAACACAGACAGAGTTCCTCACGACCCTCTAAAATGTGGTCGTTAGAGCCAACGTTACATTGTACTTATTTAAAGCCCCCTTTCGAAAACGGTCGCTCTATTTTTCTTTCTTTCTTTTTTTCTTTTTAAAGTGTCTGTCCCTTCACCAATAGCCCGAGGGTGAAGCGATTAAACACCTTTGGAATGTTTTCTTTTCTCGCCATCTACCGTCAATTCTTTCGTTGGTTTTTAACTATCAACTTTTTTCCACAAAAATATCTTTTTGCCTGTAAATGTTATAAAAGGTCGCCATTCATTCTACCTGGATAGATGCACAGTGTATGAATTCCGATCCACAAATCGTTTGCCCTTCACCACTGTTGTATCGAAAAGACCAGCCACACATTTAAAAATCAAACGTAGAATATCGTTATATCTATTTCTTTTTTCTCTCTCTCTTTCTCTCTCTCTCTATTTCTCTCTCTCTCTCTCTCTCACCGTCTCTCTTACTCCGTCCCTCTCATATTCCTTCTATTACTGTCATTAAAATTTCTCTATCTGCTCTAGGGTCTATCTATGTTTAGAATGTTTAGAGACCTGAAAGATGCAAGTAATCTCTGACATTTTCTGGAAATCGTTGAAGGAATTAATAAAAATATATGTCTGGTAATTGAATTTGATTTTATAGGCCTAGATGCTAATGTTATGCATTCTGTTTGATGGCTTTTTATAGTCTTTTTTTTTACTGTATGGAATATGAAATAGAATAAAAATATTCAATCTTACCGAGATCTATTGTTTCTAATCACTTAGTGATGTTTCTCCTTGCTGATAATTATGCTTTAAAATGTTGTAGCCTATTGATTTTTCATATGTCACACCGGGTTATCAACCGAAAAATCAACAAAACGTTTTCATCAAATCATTAATTGGTCGTATTTTAACCTGGTGTATATAAATATATATTTAACAGCTTAACTTATCATAAAATATTTATAAAAACATGTTGCTTGTTAGATATCAATAACGTGTTAACAAAATGTCTATGCTACAGTTTGCCACATTATATAAAGAAAAAGCATAATACTCAAGTGTAGCTTTGCAATATCGTTTTATTTACAAGCTATTGCTACTTCACTATGCTATTCACTCTGGAATCCTTTATATCACTCACTCATTCTTGTAAAATTTCACGCAATTCTTTGTTATTTATTATGTATATTGTTCGCACCGCTTTCTAAAGGGATATTTCCATATGCCATAGAGGTCAATAAAGGACTTTTTAATAAGGGAAGCAGAATTCATGATGAACCTAGACAGTTGTAATATTCATTACAAACTCATTTTGAAGATAATTTACACTGGTTGCTTATTAACAAGCATTTATGCTTTCTTAGCAGTTAGGTTTAAAAAACCAACCAACTAATAAAGCGCAATCACCCAATATACAGGTAGATTAAAAATGACCTTTGTTGACCATGGCATTTGGCAAATGTATCCCTCTAAAAAATAAATTATTGTATATATTTTCACGTGCTTCACACGGCTCTCTTTCACGCTTAAAGCTATCTCCGATGCACCCGAAGACTTGACAACTTTCCCGAGTCTGCTCTCTGATGCTTCTCAAGGTGACGATCTGCCCCCCTCCACCAACTGATAAGCCCCCCTCCACCACCCCTTGACATGGAGTTTTGGTGTCCCCGTCCCCCTTTAGAGATTCAGTTGATTCCAGTACCCCTCACCGGTTTTATCTTAATGTCGTCGTCGTGTTTTCTTGTCTGCACAGGTGTAAAATATTATTAGATTTTAGGATGTTTGAGGATAAACATGTTGGATGAGCATGAATAAGTGTTGTAGACGTATACCATTTTGCACAGCAGCTCTACAGGCATGCTGTCATTACATTTTATACTGCTTGATATGTAACATTTGTTCAAAGATGACGTTTCATTTGTTCATGTTACCTATTTGTCTACCTCTGTAATATCTTTCTCTACAACCTTACTTGCATGGAGTTTTGTGTGTGTGTGTGTGTGTGTGTGTCTTTTATTTTCTCCGTAAATTGACCTTTATTCATTTAACATTAATCTAACCCTTCCCATTCACTCTAACAGCTTGGAGAACCAAATCAGATGTGAAGTTTTAACTACCTTTATCTTGCATCATTGTTCCATGTCGTTTTTCTATCTCACAGTTTGATCTTTTTCCAGCACGACAATGTCTTAAGTGTTTTCTTTTATTGGTTTCATTTTATTTCGTCAGACATTGTAACTTTGCAATCTTATATGATATGATTTAATGAAGTGAATTGTAAAAACTGGTATTCGTATCTTTCGTATAGTTTGTCAGCATCCTTTGTCGACATCGTTCTGTGGTTCAATAATTACTAGTCGTTTGTGTAATCGTAGCATGGTGTGTGAAAATATTTAATTAAATTATAAAACCTGCACGGATGATTTAAGTAAATACAACAAGCGGTCTATCCTTTTTTTTGTCGATTTTGATTTAGAGTCTTGATTTTAAATATCAAATCCATTTTACTTGCACGCACAACATGAATATCAATGATCTATTAATAACACTTCAATTTATCTCCTGCCCCTATACAGCTTGCGACTGCCACCCCATCGGGTCCCTGGGCAGCATCTGCAACCAGACCACCGGCCAGTGTCCTTGCAAGGATGGCGTGACCGGTCTGACATGCAACAGGTGTTCGTTGGGTTACCAGCAGAGCCGCTCTCCCGTTGCACCGTGTATAAGTGAGTACAGAAATGGCGCCTCGAAAGTGGCGCCAATTCTTAAAGTGGTGCGCATGTATCTAAAGGGTGACATTGTTTAGAGTTGAAATTTAAGCGCATCAGACGTGTTCAGGTGACATCCTATCTGGTTTCTCGAAAATATACCTCGGTTGAGAACAAACAATTTGGCGCTTTTTATTCGTAAAAACCACCATGATTGTTGGATTTGTAAATAAAGCCCATAATTGTTTATTAAGAATAAAACAAAAAAAGGAGATGAAGATAAAAAAATCTTCGAAGCATATTTTCTAAACGGTTTCATTCTAATATGTGTCAAAAGCAATGGAATATATTTAAGATTGTGTTGCGGGCCATGAATTGTCCCTGCATTTCATCCATTGCTTATTTTGTTTATCCGACTGAAGAGAAAAAAGGACCTCATTTCATCCTCATTTCTCAAGGATGATCTTTTCGAGAAACTCAACAGTCCATTTCATACATCTGCACAGTCAGTAATCATTACACTGATCATTACTTGCACTTGTTTCCTATGGCATGTTTAATTGATGCATTTAAATAAAACTTTTTTGATTTATGAGTTTGCTTCTATTAAATGTAACAAAAATAAAATTTTGAAGTTATGTCACCGGACATTTCAAAAGATCTTACAAAAATGCTTTGGAAAATGGAGACCTCTAACATGGGTTCATGTTTCATTAATATTAATTTATAACGATAACATTCCTACTGGTAATGATATATCTAATCATTTACTGCTCTGAAATAAAGCTGGCTTGGGGTTATGTATTAAATTACAACGTGAACTACGCCATTTAAAAAAGTTCTGGTTTTCATTTGAAATGTATAAAAGATTGAAAAGAGCGTGAACGCCGATACTTTACTCAAATGTTAACTCAGTTGTTAAGATCAGAGAGTGTCACCTCCCTGTTAAGATTTAGTATTATAAAATTACTTTATAAGATGGGATATGGATTTTGAATGCGAATTACTACAAAATTTATGTGACATTATCTCTGAACTATGATCCTGGATAATAACGTAATATGTTTAATGACGTGTATCCATGGTATCAGAACTAAAAGTTTTGGTCTGTAATTATTTGAAAGTCTCAATAGGCTGAGGATTTTATCCTGCTATAACTTAAACAAGATAGATAGATGGAAAGATAAAGACATTAAGAATCTTTGGTGTGTTAATTGGACCGTCATGATTGCTTTTTCGTTATTCATTAAAAAAAGATCATAATGAATTAATATTGTTACTTTTTTTATCATTATCATTATTATTATTATTATTATTATTATTGTTATTATTATTGTTATCATTATTGAAAGAAAAACACTGCACTGCTCCTATTTCCACCTCACTGCACTTTTAGTTTCATGCCATTATCATTTTTGTTGTTAATATTTGGTTTTGACTTTCATTCCCTTACAACCTCATTCACACTCTGGTTGGTTTGCAGGTGCGACTAATTTTAGGATTTTAATTTTCCTCTTTTATTAATTTATTTGATTTCATGACCGTTGATTATTTTATCTTCTTTCATCTCCCATGCATTGATCATCATCATCATCATCATCTTCATCCAAATCATCATCACTCATGGGTCTCGGTTCGTGTTATAGGGATCAAAGGTAATTATCATCTTGCACTTGCACTCATGTTAAATTTTCATCCACAACTTCATGAGAAGTAGCTGGTTTTATTTTTAATTTATCTAAATTTTATTCTAACCCAATCGTAAAGACTTTCGGGAAATCAACCTGAGAGCTATTCCTACATCCTACTTTTGTTGAAATATAAGAAGAAATCATGTTCGGATTGTGCAATACATTTTTGTATTGTCCGCACATTTCAAAAGGTCCCATATACGACCTTGCACGTGGATATTTAGAAGTGTCGTAGTCGAGTGGTTTAAGCACTTGACTTGAAATTCAAAGGACGTGGTTCGATCCCCGATACGGCACTAAATTCCTTTGGCAAGGAATTAATCTTCATTTGCCACACTCGACCCAGGTGAGGTAAATGGGTACCTGGCAGGAACTAATTCTTTGAAATGCTGGAGCGCTGTAATTGCATCTAGGCTAAAGCCAGGGTGATCATTAATGCGCCTCGGAAAAGAATTTCTAGATAGACGGCGCTATAGAAATGCCTATAATTATTATTATTATTATTATTATTTAAAATACCTTTGGATGAGTTTTCGAAAGTCTTTGCCATGTGATTTGTATTGTTGATTCAATTCTGGTAAGGTGAGTTGCCACTTAAGTGTTTTTCAGTTATGTGGTTCTTGATTTACATTCGTTTAGTAATGATTGATTGGTTTAGTGAATGGATGGCTGATCTATTGAATGGATGAATGATGCTGTACAATTCGGACGTGATTGGTGTATTCTTTGCTTGAGTGAGTTGACTGTTTGAGTATGAATTGACTGTCAATCGAGGGGAAAAGATGTTCTCTGAAGAAAATAATCATTCCGCCAGCAGCAGAGTAATTTTCAGAGAACGCCCTTCAGTTGTAACACGAAAACAAAAATGTGGTCTGTAAGACTTAAAATTTGATGATTGCTCTCTCTCTCTCTCTCTCTCTCTCTCTCAGCTGTTCTTTCAAAGGCAGGTCCACACACCAGAGTATTATTCAGTTCTTTCTCAATCTCTCTCTATCTCCATCCTTCCTCTTCATTACGTCATATTGTCTGTTACCTTCCATAAGCATGATAACTTGATAAGTGTTGCAGTGCCTTTTATCGATATGCTAAAGCCATAAGGGCGTTACCTCCTATCTGTATAGAGTTCGAAAGATATATATGTTTACAAATTTGTCAGTGACTATTCTACCGCGCACAAAACTTATATTGCGGGCTCTGCCCTTGCATGGCGAAACTTTTCAAAACGCTGGCCCAAAGTTTCAAAACGGTGGTATCACATTTAGAATGCCATCGTATCAAGGTGTGCTTACTAGATACAAGCGATAGGACAACCTCAGACATGTATCATGCAGTGTCATATTTAGTCTCGACCGACAATGATCGGTGCTCCAATTTCCCATCCGTCCTCCCTCTCCCGGGTCCCACCGCTGCCACCGATGCTAATCTCTCCGTACTCGCACTGAAAGATTCGACACCTCCAAGAATTAAGATGAGGAAAAAGGGAATACAAAGGGTTTAAATGGAAATAAGAAAGAACTGAAAGGGTACCAGCCATTTGGGGGTAGTTGTATAGCGGCAATCTTTTAAGGTAACGTGAACCTTAGGCAGGTGTTGAAAGAGACGGTTTAACATCGATAGGAGACAGCTAAAATGCGTCGTATTTATTCAAGCATTAGCATGGCTATTTTTCTCTCTCTTTTACCTCGTTCTTCATGAACCGTTACGGAAATAAAGAATAGAAAAAAGGGGATGGATCAGAGAAGGGATGAAAAGGAGGATAAGGGAAGAGGTGAGAAATCCGAGAGACTTAAAGATTTATTTAAAAAGAGCAATAAATGGATCCATTTGGCTAGCACTATCCCTAAATGTTTGGGCCGTTTAATGCTATTATGGGTCTAAGATTGGTCTGAATGCGAAATCGTTCAACTCTTTATTGACAGATATTTACAGAGTTTTTATTTTTGTTAACCATAACAGACATGCCTCTGTCCAAAGGCTTCTGCAAAAGATTATCATTTAAAATAAGTGCAGAACATTTGCGATGCATGTTAATCCTGAAAGATTCTGATGGGTTTGTAATTGTATGGTTTAGTGTCATTTATTTCAATGGTTACTTTAGATTATAAATGTAGTGCCATTTCATCGCCCATTAGGTAATCGTTGCTCTTTAGAGATGGGCAGGAAGCAGTATTGTGTTGAGCTAAAATTAGGTTGGCCCTTAGACCTTCTCAGTAGTATTGAAAATTAGTGTAAATGCATACGAATTGAGTCAGTAGGAATCGCATTTGATAATCAAAAATGACCTGCATATTAATATTCTCTATCAGGCTTGGTTCGAATTTCGATACTTTGTCAAGGGGCAAAATATAATTGATTAAGTTAAGTTTTAAAGAGTTGAAGAAATGTTATGGCAACTTTAAACTGAAACATAGTCACCAACTTCGTCACTGTCCATTTCTTGTACAGAGTAAATGCAACATTTTACAACAGACGACCGCTTCCCCCACCCCCTCTATCCCTATGTCCAATTTAGTTCTAATAAAAATTGTATGATTTCGCGGTTTCTGATTCTAACTCCCTTTCGATACAACCACTAAATAATCTCTCTTCATTTGACACCTTCTTTCCGAATTGAAAGTGGTGTTGGATTTTCAGACAACAGAGTGTCGAATACAAGCTCCATAAATTACGACTTCAGCCATTTTTAGTGCACACCCGTCCAGAAATAGACCTATGGCATGCACACATAGTTTGCAGGGAGAAAGTCTCGATATGCCCTTTTCTTTCTTGCTATTTTTTTTTCACAGTGGTACTTCTAATACAGGTTGTAACTCATGCAGGTAAATGCAAGAGGTTTTCTCATTCTTGTCGTCGGCTTATTTTCTCCGGTATAAAACGTCATCCTGCGAGAAAACAGATCTATCTTTTGTGAGACACAAAGAAGTAAGAAAGCAGCGCCCCAAGGTTCTTATTGCGAAGGCTTCTTATAAATATTGAAAATGTGTCCCCAGATTCAGCGCATATGTCAGAGTCTATTCTCTGTCCAGTGGGTCGTAGGAGGATGGAGAGAGGGAAAGACAGAGAGAGAGGGAGGAGGAAGAAGGGAGGTAGAGTGAGTGGGGAAGAAAGTGTGAAATAGAGAAAGAGGAAAGGTAAGAAAGAGAGGGAGACGGCATGAGGAGCAAGGAGTGAATTGGAAAAGGAAAAAGGGTCTAGGGAAAGAGTATGTGAGGGGGTCGATGGGGAAGGGAGGAAAATGAATGGAGGAAGGGGACTCAAGATAGGGGAGGGAGCTGGGGCACGGAGGGAGTAAAGAGAAGGGAGTGAGGGTGCAAGGAGAGACCAGAGAGAAATAGAAAGATAATTTAAATGTATACAATTGAGGAAATAAAGTTAGAGGGGGGCGAGAGCGATGAGAAACTCAAAAGAACGTAATATGCTCAGATAAATAACAATTTAAAGTTACTGAAAAGGGAACATGATGGACACATCGATGATTCAAATTGTGAAAATAAGTTCCACCCCGTTTCTTCTTTTGTTTAACTTAACATAAAAGGTTAAATGTAGGCCTACACGCTACCCTGAGATCATGGAATTTCATCGTTTTCACATACACATGTATCAGTTCACCAACCCTCCCTTTTTCCTGACAACCATAGCTCCGCCCTTGTACATAGGCAGAATGAACCCGGTGGCAAAGAGAAATGTCTGTAGGGGTAACAAGAGAGAGGAGACCAAAAGAAAGTGAGGTGAAGAGGAAAGAAAGACGGCAGAGTAGGGAAGAAAGAGAGGGGAGAAACAACTCTTTCAAAAGATGAAAGGTCACAATTATCTTTCAAAAGGTAACATTCCAATGTTGCAAAAATGTAATCGAGTTTTTGCGGGGTCTCCCGGCACCCGGTATTTTGTCCATTGGAGAGCGATTGTGGCCCGTGAAAGCATTCCCGATAAACATCTTAATTGCATTTTGATTGAAAATGTAGAAAGAACATTAAATTCGGGGTGATGTTTATCGGTAGCATGGTAGTGTATAGTTTGTCACCCGGTTTACAATTTTGGCCTCCGTATATGTAAAGGAGAATCGGACAAATATATATACAAAGTTTGCAGGCTCGGACTGTCGAATTGCCTTTGTAAGCCTGGAATACCCTGGTCGTATACTGCACTAACACTACCATAGCTTTGCCTGACCCGACTCGACTATCATGACTCTTGTGAAATCAATCTAGCCTTGAGACAAGTCTCTGGATTTGTGAATATAGACGAGATCATTTTAAATGTCGTTCTCGCAATAACACAGCAGGTTTCTGGGGGTTTACACGGTTAGCATTTACTTTGAAAATTTATTCGGTATTCACATTTTATAAGAGTTGATGATTATATAATTACAGCAAAAATATATCCCGATCATTTTACAATGAATTCCATGGAGTTCTCATGAACATATATCTTGTAACGGTTTCCTGGTTAAGTTTTAATTAAAGCCCCTAGCTTTTTGTTACCTTGTCGGCATGTATCGAATTGCGTTTTGGTCGATGATGAATATTCAAAAAAGAGGCTAGGGGCAAGTATATCAAACAAAAAGAAAAATCAGGGCCCCATGAATAAAAAGAGACCTCGGAAAAACAACTTCTTGAAAAGGATTGCATAAAATTACTAAACACGAGAGCCAAGTCTAATTTAAGTTTAACGAAAATTGATCCAAATTGCCCATTGACCGTGTTCGTTAATACAGTAATAAAGTCGGCTACACAGTTAACTAAACACTTGGCTATGGAATCCCTTCTGAAAACCCCTTTTTTGGATAAAGGCTTGGGATAAATAAAGCGGCTCCAGGGGCCGAAGCACCCCTATTTGTTGGATTGGCGCCAGTTCATGTACCCTACGCCCTATAGCAGGTTGCATACAATGCTCCTTATGAGCACCTATCGAAATAGTTCAGCTTCTCCAGATTCCGACAGAGTTCGTGGTGGTTGTTGTAATTGTTGTTGCTGTTGTGGTTGTGGTTGTTGTTGGTGTTGATGTTTTTGTTGTTGTTGTTGATATTATCGTTTGTTTGAATTTTACTTTTATTAACTCTTTTGCAAATTAACTTTTGGCGATGAAAATATAGATATCATTATCCGTTCATTTCAATCACTGACCTTGTTATTTCTTGCATTTGACCGTGTCATAATCATTTCGGACAATTGTACACCGCCCCCCCCCCCTCCCCCTCCCCTCCCCCTCCCCCTCTCTCTCTCTCTCTCTCTCTCTCTCTCTCTCTTCCTCCCTCCCCTCCCCTCTCTCTTTTTTTTTTTTTTACCTCATTCTCTCTGTATCACTACCAGCAATTCTGACATTGGTAACGGTGTTATGTATTTTCATTTTTTTTCTCTTCTTATTATCGTTTACAGAACATCCTCGAATCACGAGCCAACCTCAAGAACAGCGAGACGAAGCTGCTGCAAGTTCACAAACCACAGGTAGGCAACCTCCCCTCCATATTATAAATGATACAATGCCTCATCCACAGAGGTTTCAACACCTTGAACCAACCTCACTTATTCCTTTAAAATGTACAACGAGCTCCAAGCTAATTAGTATACTGTCTATTTATATTTGAAATCGACAAAATACAGAGTAAATGTCAGAAATGGTATAATGAAATTACCCTTGAGTTGATTTCTTGAAAGTCTATGCGATCATGTTCAGACTACATTAAGTGGATTAAAAGAGCCTTAATCATATTAATTAGACCAACAAAATATTTTCTTCAACACTTTCTACTGAATGCGATTATACTGTACAATACATTCCGATTGACTTCAGCATGTTTATATATCATAATGGAAATTGGTATCAATAACTGTTGTCAATGAAATGATAGACGAAATATTAGTAATAGCAATATGACAAATCTAATGAGATCATTCTGATTTGGTTTCTATGTTTCTATAAAGCGAGCCAGACTTTATATCGCGTCGCAGATTTCAAATTATTCTCATAGACATGAACATGATGAAGTATCTGCACTATACTTTTCACACGGGTCCCTTTATATTATGCTAATAGCCCACTCGAAATATCAATAGACTGAGGAAGTTTGGGGCCATTACCGATATTAAGCGGGAAGGGACGTGCCATCAATATTTACTAGCAAAAGACACGAAAACGTGATTCTTGCCCGAAACTAGAGATAACAAAACTCCATGACTAACAAACGAGGGGAACTTCTTTTTGCGATTTGCAAGTGTTTCAACAAAGCGAAGGGTTTTTGTGAAACTGCAGTTTTCAAGAAGACCATTGAAGATTCTTAGAGCCTTCTTTTCAGCGGTGTATGTTTTCTAGTGATAAACAAATACAGAGTCTATAGACGTGATCTTGTAACGTGAGAACGTTTCCTGGTTTTCGAAAGTTACTCCAGGATTTTATTGGTAGAAGAATTAGAATGGATTACAGAGATGTTGTAAGTGATAGATGGGCCGGAACAACACAAGTCTAAACATCTTGCAAGTTCCTGGATCACGACATTAATTATTTCTGTCCAATCTGCCTTCGGTTGGCATTCCTTCGATTACCTCCGCTAAAAGCTATTCGCTATTCTAACTGGTGTACGTATAGAGCTGGGCTCGATTGAAAAGTTAGATATCAGTTATCTTCTCCAAAAAGGACAGTTCTAATCGCTCCAATGACCTGCCGTGTTGCGTATTGTTATTTTGCATCCTATAGTTCCAAGCCTTAAAATCTTCTTTTTTTCGGTCTGTTTCTGAACCTTCTCTTTCTATCTTTTTTTCCATTTGACTTATTTTCCATATCTTTCGTTAATCTATTTTTTAAAACAATATTTTACTGCGTTTGTTAAAGGCCGCCTGTTTTTTTTTTTGTAAAATCTTTTCTCACTATTCTCTTTCGATCTTTATTCATATTATATTTCGTGTGAGTCAACCACTCTCTCTCTCTCTCTCTCTCTCTCTCTCTCTCTCTCTCTCTCTCTCTCTCTCTCTCCTTATATATATATATATATATATATATATATATATATATATATATATATATATATATATGTCTGTCTGTCTGTTGTAAGAGTGCATGGTAGCATTGGCAGCTTACTAGAAATAAAGCCCACATTCCTAGATGAACTACGATATTCTCTCCTTGCGAATAAAAATAAATAATCATGGAAAAATAATATATTTTCTTATTTATTTGGATGCTCTCCATCTAACACTTGGCATTCCATTGGCGCGTCCATTCACCTCTCATGTCTGTGCTTCCAGTCAATGTCAATAAACACACAACGACGACGAAACAGTGAGGGCGACGCTCGACCTCAGTATCGTCGAAAACTAGCGAGGAACAGAAGGTTTTATCGAGAGGGAGCGATCAAATCGCGTTTAAAGGAGGGCAGAAATTGATTTATTGACTTTCCAAGATTTTCCACCGAGTGGGAGAGATAGACGGAGGCGCTAACAGCGGATCGTGCATTGCCGATGTCGAACAAACATGGCCGACGGCTGTCGACCCGTTGTTATAAAAACTTACAACAAAATAGTTTACATGTGGGACTGAACTTGGCTTGGCTGGTTGAGGGATGCGGCAGAGGGTCGCCAGTCCAACCAATTTGCAGCGACCTCTTTGCTGACCCCTTCACACGAGTCGTGTCAGAAATGAGATATGGGGCTTCCCAAAGAAAAATTTGAGATGCTATCTTTAATAACGCAAAGAAGAAAAGAGTTTCGGTAAAGCTACTAAAGAGACCAACAGGTTGTGTACTTTCATAATGCGAGAAACATTTTCCACTGCCCAAAATATTTCACTTTACATTCTGAGAAACGTTTAGAACCTTAATAGAATGAAACGGTATATATATTTATATTTATACGTATAGGCCTATACATAAATATATATACAACATCTAGGGATTGATCCCTTCGATATTTTCTATATTCTTTTTCAATCGCCTTTAACTGATCCCCATGTGTGATGCATGTATTCCTTTAAATAATTTAATAATAATTGAATCAAGCAATTTTCTTAAAAATCAGTTTGTTCATTTCATTAATTATCATCATAATCTTCGGGTCTTTCGTCTCAGTTACATTATCTTGTTCTTATATCAAAATAAGTGGTATTTGGTAATTGGTTGTCTTGACAGAATCAGTTTGGAACCAAGCAAAGAAATTGGATGAGAAGTGTTGAGGGGGTTTGGGTCTTTCACAGAAATCCTAAGCCTTTTTTGTTAAAATGTCGACATGTTTTTATCCCATCCCTGTAAAGTAAGAACATTCATCAGGACAATACGGTCGTATTCGATTCGTCAAGAGGCTCCATTTAATTGGCCCTCGTCCACGCACCCCGAATATTTTCAGCTTTTGTCGGAAATCCATGATTATTAATTTGTTGGCATTGCCACAGATTTTGAAGGTTAATGAAAATTTCACGGAAATACACTAATTTCTTCCATTTCACAACGTCACTCTCTTTCTATTTTCTATCTTTTTTTATCTCTCTCTCTCTCTCTCTTTCTCTCTCGCCTTTTTTCTCTTTTTCTCTAAATATCTGTCTGTCTTTTTATCTATCTATCTTTCTAACTATCTACCTGTCTTTCTACTTGTATGTCCATCGGCATGTATAAGTATCTATCATAGCCAGGATTTCATTTTAGGGGGGCGGTAGTGAGCACGCGAAGCGTGCGAATCACTTAAAAGAGCGCGCGAAGCGCGCTCCCTAGGGAGGTGGGTGCAGGGAGGGGGGAGTTTCCCCGCGCGAAGCGCGGAAGCTTTGAAAGAAGACGATTCGTTGTACCTTTCTCGACTCATAATCCTTGTCTGAATTCAGTCCCTCCCCTCTCTCGCGCGAAGCTTTGACATTTCATTAAATTATTAGAGAAAGAAGACGAGTCGTTGTACCTCTCTCGACTCTTAATCCTTATCTGTATTCAGTCCCTCCCCTCTCTCACGCGAAGCTTTGACGTTTCATTAAATTATTAGAGAAAGAAGACGATTCGTTGTACCTTTCTCGACTCTTAATCCTTGTCTGAATTCTGTTTCCCCCCCCCCCCCTCTCGCGCGAAGCTTTGACGTTTCATTAAATTATTAGAGAAAGAAGACGATTCGTTGTACCTTTCCCGACTCATATTTCTTAATTTGAACTCAGTTTCCCCCTTCCCGCGCGAAGCGCGGAAGCTTTGACGATTCATTGTACCGTTCTCGACTCCTTTTCCCTTTTTCTTCCTACGTCCTCTTTCTTTTTTTCCTTCTCTTTCTCTCTCTTTTTTTTTTTTGGCCGGCGTTTTGGGGGGGCGACCGCCCCCACCGCCCCCCTGGCTACGCGGATGGTATCTATCCGTATATTTTATCTATCTATCCCTCATTGTTTCATTCTCTTCTTTTTTTTTCTTTTCCCCCTTCTCTCTTACTTATTGTCTTTATGTCTCTGATACTATCACCAACTTTCTTCGTCATAATTATGCATAGCAATTACGTTGGGATCTCTCTCTCTCTCTCTCTCTCTCTCTCTCTCTCTCTCTCTTCCTCTCTTACTCTATCTTTCCCTTTAATAGCCTTGAAAATCGCCGCTCATACCTCTTCATTCACTTCTGATCTTAAGTCAAGATTATCTTTCGCATTTCTAAAAATAAGATATTCAGCGCGGAGACAAGAATTACATCGCCAACAGTTATACCATTATTTGTATTCCAAGTTCAGTTTGTGATGTGCAGTCACGGCCACAGACTTTTGTCTATAGGACATTCCCGACTTACAATTCAACTCGAGTGCTTGCTGATCAAATCGCGCTTAGACAAATGTTTGAATTTTTCATTCATCAAAAAATGTCCCTCAAATTCTTTGGTTGGTATAAGAGGCACGCAAAGGCGTGGTTTATTATTCACCGTCAGTTATGAATGTTAGCTTTAAACGTGTAAAAACGAAACATTAATATCATCATCGTCATCATCATCAGCGTTGATGAAAGTGAAACTAGAGTTATCAGGAGTACAGGTACTGTTGGTAAAATGATCGACACCGTTTTAATTTTATGCAGTTGAAAATTGGTCATTTATTGTTCAGTGTCCCTTCGACCGGTCTCACGATGAAATATAAGGTGTGCCTGATGATGGAATTTCAGTCTAGAGACTGAGATAATTGTTGTAATGTCATAATAGCTGCAGTTTACGGAATTAAATTATTGATTAAGGCCGAATACAACATTTAGTTTTAGCAAATAATCTTGTTCAAAACGATAATCATGAGTTTAAACAAGCAGGCTACGTGAATCATCAATAAGAAATATTAAAAAGGTCCACATTGTTGTTCGCATCAGGCAAATTAAAAAAAGGACACCCTATCCCATATATATATATGTCGTATTCTTTATACCTTGATATTTAACTTGCTAAACTTGATTCTACCCTGGATATGTTTTTCAAATGTTATTGGATGTTTTATCCTAAAAGTTTGAATTGTACATTTTGTGTAAATACATCCATTGATTCTAAAATATGAGTGTGAATGAATTTAAAATGTGTAATTTATTATATTGAGAAACTAAATATTAATATGCCTATACACGTATCATCACTTCTGACATCATTGTAATTCATTGCTCTCATTTTTCTTCCCTCAGATGGCGACTGTCCAAGAAATTGCGCGGGTTCAACGAGAAAAATTAGTCAAAACAAATACTGCAAAAAAGATTACGGTGAGTGTAATAATACTTCATAATGATATAGGCCTAGTACCCTTAAATAGGTAATACAATTTGATGCCTAGAGATCAATTGGGTACAAGATGACTTTGCCCTGCGGAAAACTCCTATAATTTGCATCCGATTTGAGGTGATATGACACACTCCAAAGATGTCACGAGTTGCCATGGCAACGCCAAACTTTGAACTTGTAGAAAGAAGGGTGGCGGCGTCATATAGACCTATACACGCTAGACAAAAGAGTAAGAATGTGTGATGGTTTTGCAATCTATCATGCTAAAGATAGAGTAAATTTCTAATAATTTCTATTTTATTTGATAATTCAGAGCATGCCAGTGAGAAGCTATTTTGGGGAAAGGGTCTCTGTTTTAATCACCAAATCACCAAACAAATATAAGCAACCAAAAGAAAAATCACACCCAACTATCCTTCCCCTTTCTGACGGGCCAATACGAATAGTATTCTTATGAAAAACTTTCCACAGCTAAAAACAATTCAGAGACTAAAAACATCTGGGATAGTAGCGACATAACTTTGCCATCTCAACGTAATCATTGGGATGGAGATTTTGCTAGGGGTTATCGTCATCATTACTGACGTAACAGAAGTATGGACATTTTTTCTATTTTACAAATAAAGAAATACTCGGAGCACGTCAAGGGAAAGAGAAATTGAGGCATCATATTTTGGGGCGTACATTAATGTTACGACATTATTTAGACATATTTTGTCAATCGTTCATATTAAAAACAAAACAAAATCAATTATTTTATTTGAACTCCGCCCATTCATCGAACCATCATTCTTATATACTTAAACGAATACGGACCAAAGCATTTGAGCGAGTTTCGCTTGCGCTGAATGACTCTATTTTGTCAGAGATTCTGTGGGCATGGGAGACTTCATGCTTGGAAGGGAATATGGGGAGTGACAGCTGAATGAGAACGGTATCAAATATTTCCCTTCTGTTGTGATAGCCTGGGCCTAACCCTCGAGAATATCGAGTAACAATTCTCAAATCAGACAGCTTTCTTTTCAGAAACTATTTCAGCGAGTGGTGGGAGTTTTGTATGTAGTGCCACTAATTCCGCCATTGTGCTTCCCCCCCCCCCCCCCCTCCCGACCGCTACTACGGTGTAGTATCTCTCATATTAAACCCCTCTCGCTACCCCACCCCTCATCCCACCCCACCCCAAAGCCTTCTTCAATTCGCCTTTTCTTATAAGATTTTGTGTTGGCTGGTCCGTTTTATATTTTGTCCTCTCTTTTTCTAGTACCTTTTGTTTTGTTTTCTTTGCAAAAGTCCCTAATGACATAATTATATTTTTTATTCATTTGTTGCTCTCTAAAGTATTTTATCTTCTTGTTTGTTCAATTTATCAAATCGAAATTTCGATTTCATTTATTATTTTTATGGTGGTTTTTGTTTAGTGTTTTTCCATCTTCAAAATAATTTCAAACATTTATCATAAAAAATGTATGTACTTTCCTTTTGCACATTTTGTTTTCCTTTCCTGTCCAACTTTTTTTATTTCTAAATAATTCCTTTAAATATTACATTCTATTTGTTGTCAGGTCAGTGACCCCACTAAAGAATATTGACCGAAATTTTTGCTTGTACACGAGATGAATTTCAAGCTCTACGACAACATCCACATTTTGGTGGAAATTACATGCCGTTTTCTTATATTGAAATGGCTATTTACAAAAATTAAGAAAATGAGAAGGGAGAGAAAGAATCATTTTGTATCAAGAATATAGTCTTACACTTTGAAACTAAAAACTTCTTCGGTAGAAGATTTAATAAGGGATGAACAAATATACTATTTTGGAACCCACACACAAAAATAATCCACACCCACATAATTCAAGAACTCTTAAAGTCGGTGTGGTTTCGATATAAGTTCAAATTTAAATTTACTTATTCACCCAGGCTTATAATTTGTATTCCTTAAACATTGCCTCTGGCAGTGAATAATATCATCTTCTTCTCGGCACTCGGGATGTTGTTTTTCTTTGGTTTCTGGGTGCTTGGCTGTGACCATGATAGTCTCAAATTTGAGGATTTCAAGAGTGAGATATTTGAAAATGGTTTCGCATTCTTAGAAATTTGACCTACTAGGATTGGGAATAAGTAGAGCGTAGAAGCAGATCGTGATTGACGAGGCTCCATTTTTTTTTAACGATTGAAAATGAATACATTTAAAATATTGCTGGTACTTTCTTTGTGTTTGAGGTTTATAATCAAATAAATTCTTATTCCGAATGGTTCTACATTCTTATTCCGAATGGTTCTGAATCGTGAATTGTATTGAATTTGAATTGTGAACTTAATTTAACCCGAATTATGAATTTAATCTTATTACTTAGTTTGAATTATAAATTGAATGTGATTTGATTTTGTTAATTGTATTTTAATTTGAATTACGAATTGAATGTGATCGGGATTTGAAATGGATTTGATCTGAATTACGAATTGAATTGGTCTAAATTTTTAATTGTATTTAATCTGAATTGCGAATGAATTTAATCCGAACTTAAACTGAATTTAACTACTTAGTCTGAATTTATGAATCGAATTTTAGTCTGCATGTTGAACTATCGCATTTGTTGTTACCTATGTCCAAGTTAAATGTTCTACTCTGTACCCATATGTATCTTATTGATGTTTATAATGTGTAATCTTGTACTGACATGCAAATGAAACAAATTTCCAATCATTGGACAATAAATTTGAATATGAATATGAAATATGAAATAATATTCTTTTGATGGGGTCTTTTCCACCGATATAGCTTTACTCTCCAGCTTTCATAATCTCCATAGCGGCTCCCTGATTCTCACCAATTCACATTGAAAAACTGAGCTTGCATTGAGCTTGATTTATAATATCTTTGAAGACATTCAGCCTAAATGTTCAAGTAATCCCTGAATAACAAATAACGTTTGACATGAAATTCATATTTCTGCCTTACATATTACACATCGCAGCTCTTGATATTACACAATCGCGAGTTCTTTTAATTTGCATTTCTACCGGTCAATTTTACATGCAAACGTGTTATCACAGACTATTCTACGTGGGAACGCCATCTGCTTGTTCCATTTCAAACTGAATTATATTAGAATTAAGAATGTGGCATATAATGGGCGTGTTCTCACTCATTTTTAATATGATTTTTTTTCTTCTATAGTTCTCCACGCGCACGTGTTATCGCGAGAGATGGAGGACGAGTGGGTCAAATTTACGGTCAACATCGTCACCGTATACAAGCGGGGCGAGCAACGCATCCGACGGGGAAACACCTTCCTCTACGTCCGGCAGCGGGACCTGACCTGCAAATGCCCCAAGATACGGCTCCGACATCGCTACCTGATCCTCGGGGACGAGGACGACTCGTCGTCGAAACGGGACGGCATCGTCGTCGACAACAAGAGCATCGTCCTAAAATGGAGGGACGAGTGGGATATGAGGATGCGGAAATTCCAACGGGAACAGAGACGGGATGAGTGCTAGGTCAGGCATGGGTGTTGTACTCTTTTAAAAGATGAGGATGCGACAGACTGAGACTCAAACCACAACTGGTTTTTAATGTTGTCTATAATTCAATCCAAGAGGAAAACGGAACGGATGACGTCATTGAAACGGTACTTGATTTTATGAGCCGTGATGGACATGAAGACCGAATGGAGATGTGGTGATTCGGGGCTCGATCCGAGTGACTATTGGAGTTTCGGACAGATTCAGCCGATAAATGATCATCAAAGGACAGGGTCTACGATCGTGGCTGTTCTTTTAAAGCCCGACAAGCCATCAGCAAATTGAACACACATCTGAGAAAGAAAGATTAAAGGGGTTATGTGACGGAGATGAATCACTTATCATGACTTGCGTAACATATATTTTCGATCGGGACATATCAAAGCCAAAGTGTTTGTAATCAGTTAAATTACTACATGTTATTGATCAAAAGTGAAAGTTGTTGGTGTTTGGATATTTGATGAGATTTCGCTGACATCCCACTGCACTTATTTAAAACTGCCCTACATGTATATCTCACTCGTCATTGGTGTCAATGTTTTATGGGCATTGTATTTTCGGCATGAAAAAAGCTTCCATTGGTGTTTGCTAGTGCCAAGAAAAAGGCAACATTGGACACCAAAAGGTAGTTGGTTCTTGGTATCGAAGGTGTTAATTTATTTAATTCTCTCAATTTACGATGAATGTCTGAAGATGTATCATATATGTTGGTGCCAGTTTAAGAAAAGCACGTGTTCTAATGAATGGTAACGATTCAGATACTGTGTTTGGTTAGTGTTAACTTGATGGATGTAAATGATTCGAATTGCCAAGAAACTATTTCCAGGAATTATAACACCTAAGTCATTTTGATTATCTGAAAATTACTACAATCATGCCTGGTTCTCACACTCGGAGCTTGACTTTTACGTTTCTTTACAACATCATTGCCAGATCAATTTCCAAATTAAAAAACACGATTCAGAATATGCCGTGCTGTTGCCATGTCTTTAGAGATTTGGCGCCACTTTACGGTCGTGAAGAGTGGTGGATAGCCACAGACGAAGAGACACTGCGTGCATGTGTATGTGGTTAACGCTTGTCAGCAAACCGATGAGAAGGGGTTGGGCACCATTTCGTACCGATTCGCTGTATGAAGTCCCATCAAGATGTAAATGTAGTCACGTGATCTAAGGCTGAATATTTCGTGCCATATTATTGTGTATTATCCGTCTTCTGTTGTTATTTATATTTCACAATGTACATAAACAAATAGGTATCTTTTCTTGTGGATGCTAACAACGTCATGATGTTTGATAGGCCTATCTATAGTCATCTTAGTAAAACGCTCTTTTTTACGTTCAGTGATTATTTCAAGAGAAAAAGACTATTTTTGTTATTTAAATGTTTCTTAAGCGTAATTTATCCATATGTGCGTTGGTAAACGAATATACACGAATAAACCGTTATCGAAAAATATCATTTATTTTTTCCATAATTATTGTATTTTAAACAGTTTTCAACAGTTGTTGAATTAAATGGTACCTTTATTGATGTAAATTTCTTTCTATACTATTTGAATTGTTATTGAATGTTAGTAGTCTACAATCCCACCCAACTTTATTTTCTCTCCCCAAACAACCTGAATTTTTATATTTCCAGCCTCGCTTTGTGTTTAGGGTATCGATATTACCTATATAGTTTGTGTTTTGCTTTAAATAATGATATTTTTGAGGGAAATGTCTCTCTTTTTATTGTATTCTAATTGCTAAACGAATAATGATGTATTCTCTATGGTATATGTAAATATTTTATTTAATGATATGACATTAGGAGGCTAAATGATGAATTGTATAAAGTGCTTGTACTCACATTGATGCTATATATTGACAGTAATTACTATAAAATAACAAAATGGCGACACTTTTACGGCGTATGATTATGTGCACAGCAGTATGATATTGAAAAGAGATATTTGCACCAAATATATCAACTGAATTAGAAAACCCCTTACAATCAAATGCACATTTCAATTATATCCCACAAATGATTAGAATATTTAGTATTGAATTGGAAGCCAAAGTTTAATGCTATCAAACTTAACCTAAAGCTTATGTAACTAGTCATAGCCTATTGGAATAACTTAGAGTAGATCTTGCTTAGGACCACTAAACGCTGAACGTGATGAAATATGTCTGTGGATAAGAAGACTAAAAGTCGTTTTTAGACATCGGAATTAAGCAAAGAATTTCTTGCAAAAAACAACAATTAGTTTTGGATAATAATCAAAATTTAGGGTAGTCATATCGACATGCATTTGAATCATTGTAATCACAGTAAAAACGGGTAACCAAGAAGAAATGGAAATAATGTACCAGTTGTGCACAAGGCGTCACTCGCTAGCGTAGTACTGCGTCATTTGTTGACGTAGTATTGCGTCAGCGATTGCTGCGATCTTTGATGTGCCATGTGCTCAACGTGAGAGATGAATCATACAAAGAGTGAATGCAAACGAACAGTGCAAACACATTGCATTGAATTGTTGACTTATGCACTTTTTGGCTTTATAGGCTTGATTAATTAGCGCGAGTAGTGGCGCAACTGAAATGACACATCGGGCGCAACGGGTATTATGGTTTCCAAATCAAGAAAAAGCATTGCGCCAACCATTTAAACGTGACTTAATTATGAATGTGATGAAATTACAAGGTGCAGAAAAAAGGCGTTACTCAAGCTTCAAAGGAAAACACGGTTGACCTACATGGGGGTATACCATTATGTATATGGCAGTATTTGGGGGTAAATATCGTAAATTTATTGATTACGTCACAAAGCTTTAAATCATACTATCATGCTGTCGCCAGTGAGGTGAATATATTTGTATAGCTGGAGATCGTTGCCATGTGAAACCGAAAGCATTCATGTATTCGTGAAATTAAAAAAACAGAATGTGGCCAAATTTGCACTAAATTTGTGATGACTATCAATGTCTTGTGTAATATATATAAAAAATTGACATCTTTTGTATAAAAAAGAAATCTGTTTGTAAGCGTTCCTCATTTGCATTCAGTCATGTGTCATTCTACTCACAATTTCTACCTATGAAATAACTAGTTTTAGAGAGCAGCTTTGAGTACCTATACTAACTCGCCCAGCTACCAAGCTCGCTAACATTCATATTCATATTCATATTCTGGGTCATCATAGAGTGTGCCGAATATCTCGAGAAAATAAATCCACGTGATTCTCCATAAAGGCCTATTATTCATTCCATTTTCAGACAAAGAGAACTTACAGTTAACACCTAGAATATTCATACCCCTTGTAAATTTTATTTTATTTTGATTTTATTTTGATTTTTTATTTGTTTTCGTTATTCGTAACTCAAGAATGAAAGGTGAATTTAATATGCCATAGTCTCAAGAAACATAAACGGGGACAAATCAAATTTTTAACATGCATAAACTATCGCAAAATTTGGTAAGGGTATCAATAATGTATAACATAATTCAGGAATATGAGCAAATAAACAAGAAAAAGATAATATACCGTAAACTGCTGAGTGATACAAAATATCAAGGGAAACTAATTTCCTACCACGAACTCCTTATGAGTAACTGTTGGATTTGATAATCTACTTATAAAGCATCAAAATCGGATATAATAAATATTCATTTGACTGATTTGAATCGCAAAACAAATTATCGAATTTACTCATTTTACCACCCAGAATGTTATCCCTTTTGGGGTCATCCACTCTTTATTATAGTGGCACATGGTGGCGTAGTTATGGGGGCATGTGATGCTCGTGCCCCCTCCCCCTTCCCCGAATCGAATGGCGAAAAGGGGGAAGGGTGGCGAAGGAAGGGGGGGCAGTGTTCACAGGGGAAATTTAAAAGAATATGATACGACTCTCATCAAGACACCCCCTTAATCAATTACCTTGTTAATTAAAATACTCTTTCAAACTAGCAGGACCGGTGCCCCCGTTAATACCGGCTCCCTTTAACCTATGGAGACCGCGCTACGCCACTCGGGTGAGGGGGCACATTAAGGATGATGACAATTCAGCGAATTATCCAATTATCCGACACAGCCCCGCGTTGACATGAATGTATGGGCGGGTTAATTTTCTGGGAAATGAGCCTCTTGTTGTGATAGCTCTTAAAGCCCATGGTTCAACATCACCCCCATGGAAATATATCTGTTGCCGTGTATCTGATCGATGTCAGGAAATGGGATGTAACAGCCTAGTGCCCAGATTGCTGGCCGAGATCGCGATGTGTCGAACACTCATTCCCCCGGAGACGAGGTTAACTTCGTGTCATCTTGACTTCAAGAAAGTGCAATCTTCGTTCTTTAATCTTCTGTCTCTTCTTCAATTTTGTCCTGTTTTTCAAGTTTATTCACCTTTCAACAACAAAATATTATCATTCACCTCATTTCTAGATCTACTCTAACTGTCAACATTGAAAAATATTCGCCGTCATTTTGGGGGGTCAATTCTTAATTTTTCTTTACTTCTTAAATTTTGTAATCCTTTTTTTTTAAAACAAAATAATACATCGTACAATATATACAATCGTGAGCACAATTAGGTCTACTATACGGTTTCATTTCTATTAATCTTCTGATAAAATTAGCCCTTTATTCCATGTTCTCACTTTTCTCTCACTCACTCTCATTCTCTCTGCATATTTCATAAAACCCTTCCAATATTATTGTCACCCCCCCCCCCCCACTCTCTCTCTCTCTCTCTCTCTCTCTCTCTCTCCTAAGTTTTCTCCAATTTCTGTTCGTTTTAGTAGCGAATTCCGACGGTCAGTTCTGTTTTCTTGTATTCTTTAGACGAATGAATAGTTTACAGAATGCCACAAAAGTACTGATAAGATTGAAAATCTTTCAATTTTTCTACTATTCCTATTTGTATAATGTCAATTCAATGGCACAGACCATGGGCACCAATCCGATGGAGGGGGCAGCCCTGTTGTGAGGCGTAATTGGACTTTATGCGCCCCCCCCCCCCCCCCCGATGATCCCCTTGAGAATGGACTGACGCCTCTGAAAAAGCTAGTCCTTTTTTTTGTGGACTTGTAGAGCCGAAACTCTTTCACAAAAATTACGTGAATCTAGTCTGGGGCAAAATAGGTACAACTGTCAGAATCATACACTCACGTAACAAGAACCAGATGCAAGCATTCCAGCACGACATGCGTATTAACAAGCGATATGAAATACCCATATCTCCCTTCTATCCTCCAAAGAGGTGGGATAGAGGGGGAGAGAGAGAGGGGAAGGGTGGGATAGAGTTAGAGAGAGAGAGAGAGAGAAAGTTTGAGAGGTGTGCGTGCGTGCATTATGTACATGAGTGCGTGCGTGTGTGTGCGTGTAAGCGGGAGAGAGAGGGATAGGGAGGAGAAAGTGTGTGTGTGTGTGTGTGTGTGAGAGAGAGAGAGAGAGAGAGAGAGAGAGAGATAAAGAGAGAGAAGGAGAGAGAGAGAGAGAGAGAGAGAGAGAGAAAGATAATCTTGACGCGTTTTAACCTTTTCCCCAATCTATCTTCCAACTACTCCGAGGATAATCAGACGAAACTCGAGCCCAAACGAACGGATACTTTTTAAAGGGTAACCTTCTTTTTTTTCGCTTGCAGACCTGGCTAGAAATAAGAAAAAGAGGGTTTACCTGGAAAAAGAAAGGTAATCCTAGATTCATCAAGCTGTCATTTGGACGGGGGCTTCATTTCAAGAAGACGTATTTCCATTAGCCTAATCACAAGCTTTGGGTTTAATGGCTAGCGGGATATTCTTCCGGATTTGATGTAGCTTATATTTTTTCCTCATGAATATATTTGAAACGAATGATGGGACTGGTATTCTTGTCCTAAGATTTGTTTGGATACGTCGGGAAGTGTTTGTAAAGAGGACCGAGTTCAAAAATTCACTTAATGTCTCAGGGTTTTCCACACAAACCGACAGAGCATTATTAAAGCAACGTGACAACGATAAACATAATACTCGTTCAATACATTCATCAGTGTGAAAGCTGAAACACTGGAGAAGAATCAAGAATGACGCCTTTCTTATCACAAATCACAAGCATTCTTATCTATATGTTTTACATGACAATGTACAGTCGACAAACCCAATAACTACCAAAAAAAATTATGACCAAAGTAAATAAATGTTAAGCAACTATAGCCTAAAAGTGCAACATCCCACCTGGAATAGCTATGTCCGTCGTTCTTACTTATACTCTGTATAATTATGTATGTCTGTTGTCACCTCTGCCTCCTTTTTCACCTTCTCTCGCTCTCTCTCTCTCTCTCTCTCTCTCTCTCTCTCTCTCTCTCTCTCTCTCCTCTCTTTCTCTCTCCCATCCCTTCCCTCCCTTGCTCTTCATTTTCTATCTCTCTCTCTCTCTCTCTCTGTCACTCTCTCTAACTTTCTGTCAAAAAAGTGCCTTCGTCGTCATCATGATGATCAGCGTCGTTTTTCGGAAAAATGATGATGGCGCTAGAACATTTGAATAAGTGTGTGTGTGGGGGAGGGGCGGGGCTCCTTGAAGAATTCTTGAAGAGAAATTAGCAACAAGCAAATAAAAGGTACTCGGATGATACAAAGCATTCAAAAAGGTGCAATTCACACTTGCCGACGACAGTTAGGAAGCCTATGGATCGCCAACAAAATTGCAGTGACGCCAACAATGGCCAATATAAAGTCCCAATTTCTTTCGACACAACATAGGCATAAGCCTCTCTATAAGTCCACTGCTACCAGAGCACCGGCAATACTTGTATCCCATTTGTATTCTCAGATAAAAATGTTAGTATTTTGCTTACTAACATAAACTCTAGAGTGTCTCCTAAACGCCATAATCGTGGCCTTACGAGGTTGTCGCACCGTTCCGCTTACGGACTGGGTCTCGACAACCCTTTAAGAAAGAGGTCCGGGGGTTAAGTAGCTCCAAAACGCGGATAAAAACGTGTTTGGCAAAAACGGAAACCTGGTATTACCCTCGTCGTCTTGCGGAATCTCGGTAGCCTGGAAGATTTCAGATTTCTCATGCCTATCGAATATCATCTCACTTCAGTCGGGTTTATCGGAAGCTCCACGACTGTTCTACTTAATCCTCTAATTGCCGAAATCTTAGTATTGGGAAGGGATGGCTTCCGCGGTTTGTATGTTATCAGTACCGGAGACATCGTAGGCGTAATGTCGTATAAGCCCAAATGAGTATACGACTGTGTAGTTTCCAAAACTTTCCAAGTAAGTTGTGTTTGGAAGATGTTTTAAATTAGTTTCATTAATTTTCGAGATGTTATTGTGGAGATGAAAAGGGACAACTCTTAATATTCGTCGCAGAGGTGGTGTGCTAACATGGCGAAGGGACTCAAATTTCTTGCCGAGTTTCCTTCTTGGAGCGGAGTTAGGAATGAGGAGGTATATGCCCGCGTATCTAAGCAATACTTTTACAGTAACATTTTTAAAGTTTCTGATAAACTTTTTGGAGAATATAATGTCATCAAACCCTTTTCAATTTGTTTGCTTTGCAATATCTGCCAAAAATGAAACTCCAAAATTTTGATATGGAAACGATGAAACGAAGTCCAAAGACCTGTTTCTGTTGTTGTTTTTTAGTCATAAAGTCAATTTATTCAAGAGCCAAATATTTCAAACATGGTCAACTGAATGTTTTAAGACGAGGATTTTTATAATAGGTACACGTACTATGTTGTACTACATGTACTTCAAACTAATTTTAACGTCCGGAAAATACACTTATCTATATTTAGTGCCTGGATTTATTCTGGAATTTCAATTCATACGAACGATCAAAGGTCCGACCCCTCAATAACATTATCCCTATTGAGGAAGTCGGACTAAACGTTGGCTCCTTGAGGAGTGTGAGGGGTAATCACTGGACTTCTAAAGATTGACCTTCAAATCTTAAGGTGTCACCGGTTCTCTCTTTCCCTTCTTCTTCTTCTTGTTTTTGTTGTTCTTCTTGTGGTTCTTCTTCTTCGTCTTCTTGTTTTTTA